GAGGGAGAGAGGGAGAGAGGGAGAGAGGGAGAGAGGGGGAAGGGGAGGGAGAGGGGGAGGGAGAGAGAGAGAGAGACAGAGACAGAGAGAGACAGAGACAGAGAGACAGAGAGAGAAAGACTTGATGCATAAGGCAATTAGATTCTACACCCAACAAAACAAGCTGAAAACATTGATTTATGCTGTAAAGTCCCCAGAAGTCTTATGCCAAACATGCTTCTCCTTCTGCAAGAAAAAGATGAATCACTCTGCCAATAAAGCCATATCTTCTTATCCTCCACCAGACAGTTTAAGGATCGCTCCCAGGACTTTAGGTATTAATCCAGTGTGGATGTTGTGGAGTTAGGGAGGCTCTAGTATTCCTGGATGCAGGCAAGGGTGGAAGAAGTTACTCCTAGAGGTGGGAAAATAGACAGCCAACTGGAATACCACACTCTAGTTCTGGTGGGAAAGAATCAGATAAGGAGACTGTGGATAAGCCCCAGACTTTAGCATAGTGAGCAAGTGTGGGTGGATAGCTGTGTTTTAAGATGTGTTGAGTTGGAAATTCTCACAAAGTATGCAGTAGAAATGTCCCAAATCTTCCAAAGACAAGATAGGACGAATGCTTGGTTTTAGAGTCACCCAGATGGTTAGAGAAGGAAGTTATGAGTGTCTGTAATGTCCCTAGAGTTACAGTGGAATGTGAAGGGACCATAGCAAAACACCAAGTGATACCAGAGATGAGGGAAAGCTGGGGACAGGGATTAAAAGAGAGCTGGAGAGCGTGGTCCAGTAGATGAGACCTGACTGGCTAATTTGGGTAGATAGATCTTTTGAGGGAACGCAGAATGCTGAAATAGAGCTCCGTTGAAGTGTGTTGGGAACTGGAGAGCTTGCGGAAACCAGGATCAGCCTAGCATGACTGAAACAGAAGGGGACAGGGATGACTTGAGGCTTCCATGCCAGAGCAAGACCTGGGCTTGTGCTTATAGGAGATGTGAAGTCACTGGAGATTCAAGATGCAGTGGGTAGTGCATGAAAATGGCGCCTGGGGGAGATAAGCCTCTCGGGGTGTAGTGGAAGGGAGAAGAGGAACAAAGGAAATGAAGGCAGCACAGACTCAAGATCCTGCTCCTTCATGAGGCTATTTGAGTTTCTTACTATAGCCTACCTTTAGCAGTGCTGGCCTGGGGGTGAGAAAGCACAGCCTCCCACCATCCCACCACCCACCACCTGCCATTTCTCCTGATCAACCGCACAGGGCCTGGGGGCTCAGCCAGAGGTAGGCTGGCAAGAGAGGCCTGTGAGACCCAGCCCTCCTGTAACTAACGCTCCATATGTCCACATGCTGAGTAACTGAGTACTCATGCCAATGTGGGTACATCTTCTAGCTCTTTACCTACCTCTCCAAGGAATACCAAATCTGTGAGTAGGAACCAGAGTACCCATTTGCTGTGTAAAGTGGAAAATTATTGTCCCCCCCACCAAAACTCCTACTTCAATGTCCACATAAACTCTAGTGACAAAGAAGAGTCCTTCCTTCTGCAACCTCATTAACTGTGGAGTGAGACTATGTGCTGACTGTCCACTCTTGTTCCTAGGTTTGCTGACAATGGCATCGGTCTGACCCTGGCCAGGTAAGAGTGACTGGAACATTGTGACTGGCCTTTTGTGGGAGTTTATATTTGGACATCACATTTCCGACATCTCCTCTCTGCAGTGGTGGAACGTTTCCATATGATGATGGCTCCAAGCAGGAGATAAAGAACAGCTTGTTTGTTGGCGAGAGTGGCAATGTGGGCACAGAAATGATGGACAACAGGATCTGGGGCCCAGGTGGCTTGGACCACAGTGGAAGGACCCTCCCTATTGGCCAGTAGGTTTGCAATGGTGGGAATTGCCGTGTGTGTGTGTGTGTGTGTGTGTGTGTGTGTGTGTCTGTGTGTGTCTGTGTGTCTGTGTGTCTGTGTGTCTGTGTGTCTGTGTGTGTGTGTGTCTGTGTGTGTGTCTGTGTGTCTGTGTGTCTGTGTGTCTCTGTGTGTGTGGCTTGAATCACAGCCATGGAAAGAAAGAAGTTAGTGGGTGACTTTTAATTTGTTGATTCTGAATTTTTCTGCTCTCTATCAATCTGCAATGTGTAATAGTTGAGACACAGTGAAGACAAGATCTGGAATGAGGAGGGAGATGTCAAAACACACTCTAGACTAGATTCCAATGAGCACACAACCATCAGACGTTCAGGGGAACATAGCGTGCAGAAAGAGGGATTCTGAGTCCCCTTAGCAACTCACTTGAAGTCTTTGACTTCTGATTATGGCTAAGAGGCAATCAGGATGAGCAGAGGTAACCAAACCTGCAGCCTTGTCTCACACAGATTGGACTCTTACATCAAGAGACAGATCACCCTAGGTGGTCACATCTCAAGGCAGCCATGCATGCAAGAGTCTAGGCTTGTTCCACTGAGGCCCTAGAATTGGTTTACTCTTCTTTTCCTGAACAGTTTTTGCTGCTATAATCAGAACAGAAACATACACACTGAAGTTTTCAACCTGAGTGCACATGGGTCTCCCAAATTATGCCCTAGAGGCATACACAGAGGCATTCCCTTGGTCTTCTTCCATTTTAAGAGATATGGAAGACCCTTTTATTTATAAGTGATCTGAGTCAGAATTTCTAGAATTTCCTTCTAAGAAGGTTACTAACCTCCAGGGACAGGATATTCTGGTGACTTCTAGAGGTATCTATGGTAGCCTGGCAGGTTCAGAGAGGTTTCTCACAGTGCCTCTGAGAGAAGAGACCTAGGGAAGGATGGTGTAGTTTTAATTGAAGTAGATTAGGATCTTAAGCATAGAACTAGAAAGAATGTGCTGCCTGAACACCTTAACTGGAAAAATGCATGGATGCCCCCTATGAGAACCAAGATCCAAAGTGATACTTACTAATCATTGCTTACTAATATACAAATATAGAAACACAAGAGGATTTTGGGGTAAATGGAGACTTCTTTGGAGCCATATGTCTAGGAGCCTGAATAGAAGGCTGGGGACAGCCTCTCTGGGGAGAGAGCCTTCATGTGCTTCCTTTTCCCTCTTCATTCTAATGCTTCCCTAAGTTCCCCATGGAAAAGAAGGGAAGGGACCAAGCCAGAAGCAGAGACATGAGTATAAATGAACATGTCAGGCATAGGAAATGACAAGCTTAGATTTATGACCAGTCCTGGGAAAAAGCCACCAAGCAGTCTAACCAGTCCGCCATGGGCCTTCCCTTAACACACTCTGCTCAAGAATCTCAAGTAAGTAGGAGAGGTACCTCTGAGCCCCTGCTCCCTGTTCTATGCCACTGATTCTTCTCTGGTCCCTCCATGTCTCCCAGCTTCCTCCTCTTCCCACTTCCTTCCTGCTGCTTGCCAGTATCAGACCTTCTCAGGGGTCCTGTGTCAGTCTCTGGTCTTGCTTTTCCAGCAAAAGCTGTCTTTGCCTTAGGCAATGCTTAAAAAGTTACACTGTAATTCTTTTCGATCACTGCCTATTCTGTGTATTTCTGTTCCTATTTCCCAAACCCAGCACATTGCCAGTGGATAGGCTTACAGAGGAAACACATCTGGATCTTAATCTGATTAAATTGTTATAGCAACTAAAACTAGGGCGATAGTGACTAACAGCGCTCCCCTCCCAAGGGACAGAATATTGGCAGTCTCTAGAAGTATTTACAGTATTTTCCTAGTGACTGGACACATTGATGGGAAGACTAGAGAAACTGCCTAAACAGAGGTTCCTAAGCCAACAACTTGATAGACAGCTGTTTATCTACCAACTCACCATTCATTCAGCCAACTAACTGTCTATCAACTAGTTGGTGATGTCTGTCAGCTAGTGGGTGAATGGTAATTCATCCACTCATCCAGCCATCCACCATCTACTCATCAACCATCATCTACCTACTACCCTCATCTATTCATCCATTCGTCCATCTGCCTATCAGCCAGCCTCCGTCTACCCATCCATTCAACCCTATCCATCCACCCATTTATCCACCATCCATTCCTCCACCAAACGTTATCCAGCCAATGCATCCCTAACATCCCTCATCCCTCTATACAGACACTTCCCATCAGCAGTTCTTTCACTGACACTGCCCATACATGCCTTCTCGGTGAATTGATTAACTTCATGATTTTTCAGAGGAAGGAGTTGGTGGAGGTAGGGGATCAGGAATGGCTTCACCCAGAAATATTTATCATTCACCTCCAAAGAAGCAAACAAACATGGCACTCAGCTGACACCTGACTTCCTTAACTCCACAGGAATTTTCCAATTAGAGGAATTCAGTTCTACGACGGTCCCATCAACATCCAGAACTGCACCTTCCGAAAGTTCGCAGCCCTCGAGGGCAGGCACACTAGTGCCTTGGCCTTCCGCCTAAACAATGCCTGGCAAAGCTGCCCCCACAACAATGTGACCAACATTGCCTTTGAGGATGTCCCGGTGAGTGTGGTGCCAGGACAGGCTCCTGGCACAGCCAGGCTTTGAGTGATGACTCACTTGTCCCCCACGGCTTAGAGATTGAGCTGTTGCCACCACCACAAGGGTGGAATAGCTTCCTCCAAGTAGGCTGGACCATGTCCCAGTTTACTCTCTGCCCAAACTGGAAAAGTACAAGCTCAGGTCACAGCAAGAGGTCAAGTCTGGGTGAGTGACCACTGGCCTTCTATCTGTACCTCAGTAAGAACCTGGAGATGAACTCAGGGTTCTGAAGCTTTCCTCCAGACCCTTGACACACTGGATGATGTGACCAGACTACTTGAGTTGGCACAGATCATCTCAAAACTCTAGCAGTGCCCAAGGGAAGTCTTCTGAAGACATTGTTTACCGTCATCCTGAAAGTAGATGTAAACAGGGCCTTCCTGGCTGTATATGGAGAAGATGGGGGAGCTGAGGGTCAGGCGAGCATCACCAAGGCTGCCTGTGAGAACTGCTACTTCTCACTATCTACAGCAAATAACACATATAGCCTATACAGAGAAACACTGTGGTCTCCCAAACCTTTCCCTCTTCCCACTCCTCCCCTCCTTGCCCTCCCCCCTCCTCAGTTCTCCCTCCTCCTTCCTGCTACTGCCTTTTCCTGTCTGCTTACTCACAGATAGGGCCACCAAGAAGATACAAAACTTGAGTTACTTAATTTCTTCTCTCAGACCCCTGGGGGCCTGTAGAAGGTCAGTGACAGAGATATCCAATGGCTTTCACTGTGAGACTGTCCTCCTTAAACCCACCATACATACAAGGTCATTTATCTACACACACGCAGGTACCCCCTACACACTGTACACAATTTCTCATACAAACACCGACCCACCCCACACCTCTCCAGCTCATCTTCGGAGCCCTCAAATTCACTTAATCCTAAGCCCCTCCTCTATCAGACCGGACTCTAAGGCCACCTTCAACAGCCAAAACAGTGAATAGAGCCAAAATCGTGTGCTAGTTTTTGCAGTTAAGGCACGGTGACACTCTGACTGTTTTTTGCGTTCCATGAGATGGTCAGGCATGCGGTTTCCTCTAGCGCCCAGGGGCAGCCTCTGTCTGGCTGCTTTGTAATGTCAGCGGAAATTGGAAACTTTGCCCTGGCCTGATGACGGCTGCAGTTTCCGTTCACCTTCTGGCTCAGCCGTATTTTCCTGGGCCCTGTTCAGATTACTTCCAGAGTGTTCTTCGGCGAGCCTGGGCCCTGGTTCAACCAGCTGGACATGGATGGGGACAAGACATCTGTGTTCCATGATCTGGATGGCTCTGTGTCGGAGTACCCTGGCTCCTATCTCACTAAGGACGACAATTGGCTGGTTCGACACCCAGACTGCATCAACGTCCCAGACTGGAGAGGGGCCATCTGCAGTGGGCGCTATGCACAGGTGGGGATGCCACCCTAAGCCTCTTGCTAACTCACTCTCTCACTCACATGACAAGGACTCAGAGAGCCGGCTGTGTGTCCAGTTAGTTCTATGTTGGACCAAGAAAGATGCAAGATGTTCCTTCCTTCCTTTTTCTGCCCCTCACTCCCGTTCCACAGGGTTTTCACAGCCAACACACTGTACTGGGGTCCTTCACGTCCGGTCCCAGCACTTACTAATTTCTGCTCTGCAGTTTACACCTTGCAGTCTCAGCATCCTCATGTGGGAACTTAAGCTAAAAGCCAAACTTCTGTGATGATATTTTAGGAACGGTTTCAGATAGCAATAAAATCCTTCCTCCTGTCCTTTTTTAGGAGTAGAAATATAATGCGAGCCATAGCTTTCCTAGTAGTCATGTTAAAAGGTTAAAAAAGAAATTAATTCAATAATATTTTACACATATTCAAAATATCGTTTCAACATGTAGTTAATATAAAAATTATTAATCAATTTTTTCCAGTTCAGACTTCAAGCTTCCATATATATATATTTTGTATTTCTAGTCTACTTCTTTTTTAAATATTTATTTTATTATATGTATATGAGTGTTTTGATTGCATGTATGTATATGCACTTTGCACATGTAGATGCCCACAGAGATCAGAAGAAGGTGTCAGTTCTCCAGGAACTGGAGTTGTGGAGGATTGTGAACCACTATGTAGGTGCTGGGAACTGAGCCTAGGTATTCTGCAAGAGGAGCAAGTGCTCTTACCTGCTGAGCCATTGCTGTAGTCCACTGGCCCACTCCTTCTGAAATGTTAGTTCTCCTCAAAGTAATACAGGGCACTCACAAAATAACCAAGTTGTGTTTAATAAGAAATTTTTTTCACTGCTTTTGATTCAAAATTGATTGAACGATTGCTTTTGTGACTTAGATCTGTGCTTTATGATTTAAATGAATTAAAACAGTATTTTAAAGCTGGTTCCTGGGCCATACTGTCTTCATGTCCAGGACTCAGTGTGCACATGTGACCCATGACTAACACATGAACAGTGCTATCCATAACCCTGTGACCATTACTGTCTTTACTTGGATAAATGAATGAATGGTGAGTGAGTGAGTGAGTGAGTGGATGAATGGATGGATGGATGGATGGATGGATGGATGAAAAGAGGCCAGAGAAAACTGTCCCATTAGAAAGGAAGCCCAAGGCCAGGTGGGCCAGAGGAGAAGGACGTATGTGAGTGAAGGTGTCTTCATGACCATGGTGGGAATCCTTATCACCATAGCAGACATCAGAAAGCGGAGCTTTCAGAAAATAGCTAAATGCAGGATTTGGTGAAAGATTAGAGGTAGAGAGAGAGTTAGTACCGTGCCTAGAGGACAGGGCCCAGGGGCAAGGTGGGCACAGAGTGCAGGTTGGGGGTAGGGCTAGCTTTAGCAGAAGGAGAGACCCAAGGAAGGCAAGAACAGGAAGTTGGGGCCGTTTCTTTCTGAACTGGAAGGTGAGGTCATGAGCTAAGACTCCAGGAGAAGGCCTGAGAAGGATGGCCTGCAGACAGCGATAAACGGCAGGAGCTGCTGCAGAACGTGGAAAATGTTGACAAGACGCATGCAGACAGCCTGCCTGGCAGTGTTGAAAACCCCGTGGAGAATGAGACAATGCCTCTTTCCTAGGCTAAGGGATTCTCTCAGCCCAACTGAGAGCTCTAGAACCAATGGCGAAGGACAATGATCCAGGGCCAGGCTTCTCCCATATGTGTGGACAGGGCAAACACCAAGATGCCAGTGGGGATGATGGTCTACATAAGAGAGGGAGGGGAGAGCTCGTGGGTGGGAATCATGCCTGCATAACTGGAGGATGACAAACCATCAGGGGTCACCCACATCTCAAGCATTATCCACCTGGCCTATGGGCTGAGGCAGAGATTGAATAGGACAACACACAGACTAACTCTCAGATGGTGAAGGGCTAGTTGTATCTGCAGTAGACTTTGAATACACCCATCCCAAGAAGCCTGGTGCTACAGGCCCTGACATCTCAATTGCTATGGAAGTGGAGACAGGAGAGTTACAGGTTCATGGTCTGCCAGAGCTACAGAGTGGGTTTTAAGATCAACTTGGTCAGGCAACTTAATGAGACCTTCCTTGACTCAAAGAGTAAAAGAAGGCCTTGGGATACAGCTCAGTGCTGTATTGCTTGCCTAGCACGCACAGTGTTTAATTCCCTATATTTAATGCCTAGCATGCACAGTGTTTTGTTTTTTTGTTTGTTTGTTTGTTCGTTCGTTTTTCTTTTTTGAGACAGGGTCTCTCTGTGTAGTCTTGGCTGTCCTGGAACTCACTCTGTAGACCAGGCTGGCCTCGAACTCAGAAATCCGCCTGTCTCTGCCTCCCAAGTGCTGAGATTAAAGGCGTGCGCCACCACCACCCGGCGCATGCACAGTGTTTAACTCCATATATTTAATGCCTAGCGCGAACAGTGTTTAATTCCATATATTTAATGCCCAGAATGGAAAAGAAAAAGAAAAAAAGATGGAAGAGAGGGAGGAGTAATGAAGGAAGAAATGAAGGAAGAAGAAAAGGAAGGAAGGAAAGAGGGAAGAAGGGAGGGAGGGAGGAAGGAAAGTCTTCTCTCCCCTGTTCTTGTCCTTTCACACATGCTACCATTTTCCACAGTTCACCACACGACTATCAGCCAACTCCTAGCAGTTCCAGTGGTCACTCCTTCAGCAGAGGTCATTTTTTTTTTTGAAATCATAGAATATGTCAGCTAAGCTGCACCATGCTACTTGGGCTGTGTCCGCCAGTGCAAAGAGACATCCCCTTATTTGATCTTCCTTTCTGCAAAGAGACAGTAATTCTGAAAGTGGCCTCTAGATCAGATGTTAGCCAGACCCTCTAGAACAGTCCCTTCTAACAGCCTCCTTGTACGTTTCCTTTTTGGGTTTTCAAAGATGTACATCCAGGCCTACAAGAGCAGCAATCTGCGCATGAAGATCATCAAGAATGACTTCCCCAGCCACCCTCTCTACCTGGAGGGCGCCCTCACCAGGAGCACCCACTACCAGCAGTATCAGCCTGTCATCACCCTCCAGAAGGGCTATACCATCCACTGGGACCAGACAGCCCCTGCTGAGCTTGCCATCTGGCTCATCAATTTCAACAAGTATGTGAGAGCAGCAGAGAAGCATGACCCAGGACAGTGGTGCTGGCTGAGCTCAGGCAGGGATAGTGAGAACACCTCTTTGTAAAATCTTGGGGTTACTATTCTCAGGACCTCAGGCTGATCCCTTTTACCACTATAAGAGGTACTTAGATAGGCTCTCATTACCTAGAGTTAAGAATCTAAGGGCACAGGCTGAGGCTGCATAATGGGCCCACCTTTGGAGGCCTGGGGTGATTCTCACTTGCCAAATAAACAAAGAATGTGTAGTGAACTAATGATATAGTCACCCCAGCTCTTGGGTATTACACATGCTCAGTAAATGGAAAAAATACAGGCCATTGCTGGTGTTATTTATAAAGAGGAGAGCTAAGCTCCATGAGGGCATCTTAATTGCCTTTTTGTTTACTGTAGTAAGATACCCCAACAGAAGGGACTTAAGGAAAGAAGGATTGATTTTGGCTCAGGATTTGAGGTTAAAGTCCGTCAAGGTGAGGACATCACGTGGTCAGGAGCTGAAGTCAGCTAGTCACATTGTATCCCCAGTCAGGAAGCAGAGAGAGATGACTGCTTTGTTTTACATAAAACACTTAGGTTGGGTCTCCCTCCATCTCAATTAAGCTAATCAAAAAAATTCCTCACAGGCATGCTGAGAGGCTAACCAAATCTAGACAATTGCTCAAAGTCAAGACAAGGGGATTGTGCCCTTTCCTAGGTGGTCCAAGGACCTGTCAAGTCCACGAATATAAACCACAGCAGAGGGGAAGCAGTTGGGTTAAGTACATCAGGTCAACTGTGTATATGCACATGGAAGCATTTCCTATATGCACTGTGTTCTCATCGCTGTACTCCTGAGACAGACAGTTGCAGAAAAAGGTCATAGTTAGTGAAGAGCCCCCCAATCATCCTCTTTTAGGGCCAACCCTAGCCCTCAGTTGTTTATGGTCTTTAGTCATAGCCCATTCAAAAGAATACCATTTTTCCTAGCCAAAACCCACACAGAGCACCTTTAGCTCATCCCTTGAATCCTCACAGGTGACCCATCCTAATAGCCGTCTTCAGCCACTGGTGGTCACTATCCATCCTTTTCTCCCTGAACACTTTGCATCTTAGTTACTATTCTTTCAAAACTTCTCACTTAAGAATTCTTTGGCTGCTATTCCTCCTGTGGTGTGCTCAAGGGCCTTGCCCAGAACTAACCCCACTTTCCTTTTCAGGGGTGACTGGATCCGAGTGGGGCTCTGCTACCCAAGAGGCACCACCTTTTCCATCCTTTCAGATGTTCACAATCGTCTGCTAAAGCAAACATCCAAGACTGGGACCTTTGTGAGGACCCTGCAGATGGACAAAGTTGAACAGAGCTATCCTGGCAGGAGCCATTACTACTGGGATGAGGATTCTGGGTAAGGAGGCTCCTATGGTCTGTAGAAATGAGGCTCCTTCGTTATGTATCTTGGATCTCCCATAACCCTAAGAACTACAATGTAGTTTATGCCATTGAATACAGAATGCTTCCTCAAGCACTTTGACCCTAACACTGACCATGTTCTTAACCACTTAAAGACATCAAGACATTGATGGAAATAAATTCTCTATTAAATCTGCAAGTGGATCATAGGGAAATTAAAAGAAAAAAGTTAAGGCAATAAACAACAACAAAACAATGTTACCCACCTCCCCAACCCAAATAGAACAAACAATATTCTAATTTCAAGATGGGAAAAAGGAGACCCTGGGAGAAAAAGAGTGAATTTTCTCTGGGGTCATAGCACAAACCTACTCCACCTGGATCTGAGCTGAGGACTATCTATACCCCAAGCCCTCCCTCTTCTGCTAACTGGATCCTGGTCAACGGAGATACAATAGAAGCAAAGTGTCTGCATAAAGATACTAGGGAACTAGTGATCCTCTCCCTTAAAATAAATCCACAGCCAGCAGATGGTTCAGTCAGTCAAGCACCTGCTATGCAAACATGAGGACCTGAGTTCAGTCCCCTAGAACCTACGGAAAAAAAACATAGGCACAGTGGCATCATTTGTAAATCTCAGAATTAGAGGCGGAGCGGGCGTGGAGACAGTAGCTTCCTTTATCACTAGCCATCCTAATTTAATCTGAAAAGTCCAGGTAAAAATGAAAGTTCCTTTCTTAAAGTCTAATATGGAGAACTCCTGAGAATGACACCAAGAGTGGACCTGTGGTTTTCAAGGATAAAGATGGCCAGGGAAACACGAAGGAGGCCACAGAAGCCTCCTAGGGAGTAAGGCAAACGGTTATTTAATAAGTATTTTGCTTTTTTATGAGGAGAAAACAAAGTAACTGCTCTCTTTTAAAAGGATAATCAACTTGCCATAATTAGGGGTAAAATGAATATAGGCTGGCTAAGAGGAGAGAGTTCCAAGGTGGTAAATGAGCCCTGGCTTGGCTTTAGTTGTATTCTGCACAACTGGGTTTACTAGTTGCTACCCAAGGGAGTACCACCAAATAATGTAATATGGTATAATAGGAGTATGGCCCAAGTTTCTTCCCTATCCCAGGGCCTTGGCATTCAGTTCAGCTCACTGGAACATCCATAGGTTATAGATCAAGGCCAGCGCTGTGATCCGTGTAAGAGTATTGGAGAGATCAGAATCCCTTTGCTTTGTCTGATCTAGCAACGAGGAAATTTTAACACTGTTAAGACCAGTATAGGAGCTAAGGGGTCATGCCAGCTTCTACCTCTAGGTCCTTAGCATTGATTCTTATAAGGAAGTGAGTACCAGTATGATGTTGCCATGGACAACACTCAGAGAAGATGTTACCTCTGTAGCCTCCCCACCATATGGATGGCACTGGCTCTGCTGTTGACTTTGAGCTGGAGATTCCTAGATCTGACAGTTTCCATTTTAGTCAGTGATCACTGAATGTCAAGAACAGAGGTACTTTTTTTTGTTTGTGTGTTTGGTTTTTGTGTTTTTTGAGACAGGTTCTCACTATATAGCAGTGGCTGTCCTAAAACTTACTGTATAGGCCAGGTTGTCCTCTAACACTCAGAGATCCACCAGCCTTTGCCTTCCGGGTGCTGAGATTAAATGTATGCACTGCCACACCCAGTACAACAAAGGATCTTGCTCTGGACTGCCTTGAAGCAGCTCAAGTCCCCTTCATGTGAGGCTTATTCCCTCATACACACACACACACACACACACACACGCACACACACACACACACGAGTGTGTGTGTACACCAAGCCTCTGGTATCAGGCTCTTTTCTTGAGCTGCCTTCTTTTCTCAATTCCTCAGGATAGCCATGGTACAAAAGAGTCACAGTAGCCACTTCTCACTTGCACATACAACTCCAGTACCAACTAGTAAACAGGACCCACCACTTCCTTCATTCCAGCTCTCAAGAGAGTGCCTCTTGCCTTCCTATAGCTAATAAACAACCTAAAGAATCCAATGTGAGCCCCTACTATGGTCAGAAGTGGGGAGAGTAGGCTCTGGTGCCCTGGCCCAAAGTCATGTGGGTTCATTGAAAGTTGGCTCCCCTAAAGAAGAGTGTGGAGACAATCGGGACCTTATCTTTAGGTTTTACAGACAGGACTCGGCTTGAGAGCATTTCTCTGAGATGAAAGAACAACAATAATAAATGCCAAGTTAGTACTGTGGCAGCTACATAGTCTGCCTCCCTGGAACATGGGCCAGGCTCCTTCCCAGCAGTTATAATTGGAAGAAGTTACGGCTTGAACAAAAGTAGAGTTAGGATCCACGATGGGATGGGAAGACTCCCAGCTCTGTTACACCCAGTGGTGTCGTTAGTTCTCCGAGACAATTTCCCCATCTGGGAATCAGTGTGATAATAGTACTCTGTGGGCAGGTTGACAATTAAGTGAGATGATATTCTATGACATGTAGTTGGTCCTCAGAAAATATTTGCCAGAATTTTTACCTCCTTCTTCAATATCTATTCATCTGTCTATCTACACACACACACACACACACACACGCACACACACACGTTTGTATATATGTATGTATGTATATATGTATGTATGTATGTATGTATGTTATTCTTTCAGCTGCATCTGACTCTCTGACAGACACAGTTCCATGATTCAAGGCCCTTTGGATGTAACCTCAGTGAGCAGGAGATTTGCTATCTGTTTGCTTGAGACATGGTCTTGCTATGTAGTCCTGCCTGGCCTTGAACTTAATATGTAAACCAATCTGACCTTCAACTTGGTTGGGGCGACAGGTGGGAGCCATCATGTCTGATTTGAGTGTGGAGGAGGTTCTAAGTGCCCCCATAAGAATACCCAGATTCCTTCTGTGCACAGGTTGCTCTTCTTGAAGCTGAAAGCCCAGAACGAAAGGGAGAAATTTGCTTTCTGCTCCATGAAGGGTTGTGAGAGAATCAAAATTAAAGCTCTGCTCCCAAGGAACGCAGGCATCAGCGACTGCACCGCCACTGCTTACCCCAGGTTCACTGAGAGGGCCATAGTGGATGTGCCAATGCCCAGGAAGCTCTATGGGGCTCAGCTGGTAAGTAGTCACGGCAGGCTGGGCCCAGTACCTCTAAGAGGCTCAGACCCAGCCAAACTCATCTCTGGATACCTACTCAGCTCCATGACTCAGTTCTGGGTCAAGGCACAGAGAACATGAGGAGAAAGAGCGCTCAGGCCTCACAGCCTCACAACTGGGTTGTGTTTGTTTTTCAGAAGACAAAAGACCACTTCCTGGAAGTGAAGATGGAAAGTTCCAGGCAGCACTTCTTCCACCTTCGGAATGACTTCTCTTATATTGAAGTAAGCAAAGATTCTGCAGGTGCAAGGCTACTCCCTGGTGTGGAGTGGGAGTACTAGCTGCAATGGTCTCACTGTGACCACAGTACATGACCAGTGATGACTGATGGGAGGAAAGACTTATTTTAGCTCATGGTTTCAGGGAGCTTTGGTCCATTGTTGTGAGGGAGGTATGACAGAACAGGGCAGTCCACAGAGGCCCGATGTCATAGTTACTTTTCTATTGCTGTGACATTTATCACACAGTGTGACTATTATCATGCTGATTCTCAGATGGAGAGATTATCTCGGAGAGCTAACTACACCACTGATAGTAACAGAGCTGGGAGCTTTCCCTTCCCATCTCGGATCCTAACTCTACTTTTGTTCAAGCCGTAACTTATTCCAGTTATAACAAAACACCATAGATAGATGGATAGATAGTGAAGAAGAAGATAAAAATCCCGGCAAATATTTTCTGAGGACCAACTACATGCCATACAATTGTAGATTGACATATCATCTCAGTCAGTTGTCAACCTGTCCACACTATTATCACACTGGTTCCCAGACAGGGAAGTGTTTATTGTGGAGCTTACAGTTTCAGATGTCTTGAGTTCACGATAGCAGAGAAAAGGTATGGTGGTAGGAACAGCTGGGAGCTTCCATCTTGATCTACAAGGCAGAGACATTGGGAATGGCAGAATCTTTTGAAACCTCAAAGCCTGTCCCTAGTGATATACCTCCTCTAACTAGGCCATACCTCCTAATCCTTCCCAGTCAGTTCCACCAACTGGGGACCCATTGGTTCAAATATATGGGCCTATGAGGGCCATTCTCATCCAAACCACAACATCTGCACATATGGCTGTTGGCCTCATGGAGGATCAGGAAGAAATGAGAGAGGCAGGAAGTAGGGGTCAGGAATAACTTTCAAACACTGACTCATAGTAACTGACTTCCTCCAGCTAGATTTTACTTCCTAAAGGTTCCACACATCCCTGAAGCACGCATCATCACTAGGTAGTGAAAAAGCATCCAAATCATGAGCCTGTGGGAGGCTCATTAAACTCTGACAGGTGGTATTGTGATAAGTTGCCCCAAGCAGGATGGGTTAAAACAAAAGAAAGTTATTCTCTTTCAGTTTTCGAAGCCAGGAAGATTCCTCTAACTTCTGGTGGCCCTAATGGAGCTTTGGATTCGAGTTACATCACTGACATCTCTGTCCCATCTTCATGAGGCCCTCCTTCCTCTGAGCCTATCTCCTAACTCTTACCTTTCTTCCTAAGGGGCGCCAACATTGGATTTAGTGCCTACCTCAAACATTCTAGATGATCCTGCCCTGAGATCATTAATATATATGTCATTAAAACATCTTCAGAAATACTATTTCTAGATAAAATAAAATCCAGAGGATCCTAGTGGGCATATCTTTTGGGGGGGTCACTATTCAAACTCACAAAGAGCACAGTTGGAAGGGGTGTGAAGGATTCTCATAAGTTGGCACTCTGTCTTTAGTATATACATAGTGTATACATAGTGTATACAAGAAGGAGAACCCTGGGCCTCAGCTGCCCCAGGATCTCTCACTCCTCTATTGCTTTGGTCCTGCAGGTGGATGGGAGGAAGTACCCTTGCTCAGAAGATGGCATCCAGATAGTGGTGATTGATGGGAATCGAGGTCACGTGGTGAGCCACGGCAGCTTCAGAAATGCCATTCTGCAGGGCATACCCTGGCAACTCTTCAACTACGTGGCAGCTATCCCTGACAAGTGAGTCTATGTGTCAGTTTCTGAACTGTCCAGTGGCACAACAGATTCCTGGCTAGGGCCCAGTCCTTCATGCCCAACCCCTCATGATTCTTGCCAGTCAGGATGATCTGTGCTTACAGACTGTGTCTACTGGGAGGAGAGAACTTTGTGCCTGTTGCTGCACACGCTGGAGGCAGGTCTGCTGTAGATGTAGGTCAGGCTGAGGCAGAGGGGAATGCTGCCTCACTCCTTGGAAGGCTGCCTGACCCTCTGCCCCCATCACAGCACTCTCTCTCAGTGATCTCATCCCCACCCACACCTCCAATAGGATCCAAATGCTGGTGGCTTCTGAAGATCCCCAGCCTAGGTCTCTTTCCTAAACCCCAGACATTCATATCCAATGGCTACTTCAAGGTTGCCACCTAGATGTCGTAAATGGAACTAAATTCTCATCCCTTTTATCTTTTGATCCTCCAGATCAGCCCTCCTTCTGTTTTCTCTAAGTTGTCACCCATCCAGATGTTTGGACCAGAATCTAAACTTAATGCCGAGGATCTTTCTTTCACCTCCGTATTCTAACACAGTCGAAAACAGTCCACTGCCTTCCTTTCTGGTCCCTCCCTAGTGTCTTCTCTTGCTCTGCTCTATCTCTGTTGATCAACTAACACCATGACCATAGGTTCCTGACAGGCTCTTTTCTTCCCATCTCCCAAACAGGAAGTTAGTTTGAGTGTCTTAAACTCTAGGATCCTCTATAGCCTCTCCTCGTTTCTTTCACCTGTTTTCTCCTCACTGATGTCTTTTCCTATCCATTCTCCATTCTCCACTGGAGCACTGCTTGAAACAGAAACAGAAGCCTTGAATGATGTCTTATCAAGGAAGCAGACTTTCTAATGTAGAGTCCACAATAGACTTACCTATGCATGTTCAGTCCCTGAACTACAGTGTGGGTGTGGGAATCTCTCTAGAGCCACAAGCTAGTGGAAAGCAATTCATGCAATTCATGTGGCACCTGTCACCCCTAGGTGCTTAGTAAATTGTTAATGAGTGGAGACAAGGACCCTTTAGGGTGCACTCGCATAGTTGGAGGTGGGGAAGTGGATAGGGGCTGACTCCATGTGTGATTCTGGAGAATAGATTTTGCTCAGTCACATCTTGTATGTTTTTCCCACCCTCAGTGCTCCTTTCATAGTATATTTGGATGTATGTATATGGAAGTGAATGTGCACATCTGTATAGGGGTGTGCACACATGTCTGTGGAAGCCAGAAGACGAACAGCTCTGGGTGTCATTCTTCAGGCATTTGTTTTTTTTTTTTAAAAAAAAAAAAGGTCTCTCACTGGCCTGGAAGTCATCAAGGCTCAACAGCAAGCCCTGGGGATCTGATGCTTGTCTCCACTTCCCTGTCACTGAGATTACAAACACTTTACATTCTGAACTCTGGGAATCAAACTTGGGTCCTTGTGTTTGCAAGACGAGCACGTTTTAATAACTGAGTGAGCTCCCTAGCCCCACACTCTAGCTCTCAAGCACAGGTTCATACAGAAGAATCTGGCTTTCCAAGTTGGGAAAGTACATTTATCATCTAGAGATCAGTAGGTTTCAGGCCTTTTTTGGACACAGGCCTTTTCTTGAAATGAACCAGATTACAGAAGCTGAGAGTGAGAAATAGCTCCCAGAGTTCTGTTTGGAGCTGTGTGGGGTTCCTAGCAGCCCTTGCACATCCCTAGGAGAAGTGTGGATGGTCTGAGTCAGACTTAGGCTGGCAGTGGATACACAGACAGGAATGGGTACCACCAACCCCTCCCTGACCTCCTGGGAAGCAGCAGCTGAGTGGGGAGGGAGAGGTGCTTCTGTTCTGTGGCTCAAACCCAGCCTGGAACTTATCCCTCCCTCCCTCACCCATCCACAGGACACCATAGGATCCCAGCTGCTCACACCTCAGACAGTGAGGAGAGCTTCTGGAAGCCCCCTCTGACCTTCCACCTGTGGGAGATTATGTCATGAGGCACAGGGGCTAAGTGATCAAGAGGATAATGTACCAGACAGAGAGACTGTAACGTGACTCATACCAGGAAGCTGTATGCTAAGCAAGTCTATCTCCCTGTCCCTGAGGCCACCCTGAATATATGACCTTCCTTTGAGTTCACTAGTTCAGCCAAAGACTTTCAGTGTTTATTCTCTACTGAACAATGGGGAAGTTTCCTCTTGGGAGCAGAGCCTGGGATCCACCCCAAGGATGTGCTAGCAATGAATCCTTTCTCATTAATGCGCCTCACCTTGCCAATCCCTTGGGCCTCCTTCTTTTAGCCTTCTTAAAGAGTCCAAGACAGCCTCCTCACCCCACCCCCATTGGTCCTTACTATACACTAGCCCTTTGCCTGTTGACAGCTTTCCTTCTGTTCCCAGTGGGACAAAATCAGGGGTAACAGCAAGTTCCAGAATCTCATACAGTTTTTCCATGTCTGGACTGTGGTCTGTGGTTACAGAATTCCACTGAGATGGAAGTTGGAAGTCCTGTGGAGCTTCTGCCCTGTTTCTGTTCTGAGGGTGATGCTCACTCCCCATGTCTGGCCCAGCATGAATCTACCACCACAGAGGCTGTTTTCTTAAAACTGGGGGCTAAATGCAGCCCAAGGCAGGAAGAACAGACTTCCCAGCTCAACTTTTGCAAATTGAGTTCTTCTAGCTTCTGCCTCTCACACCGCCTTCCTGAGCAAACACTCTAGGAAGAGCCCTCACAGATAATGTGTAGCTGCTCCATCTCCCATTGACAAAATCAGGCAAGCAGATCTTGCCTGACCAGAGAGGGTGGTGACACACAACAGAGCCATTCTGGAAAGGCCACAACTACACAGTGCCCTTCCCAGAATGCTCTCAAACTGGGCCTGTCTTCCTGCACCTGAGAGGAGGGTGGGCTGCACAAAGCTCAGTGCCTTCCACAGACTTCACTAAAATACACATAGGGACTCCATGCTGGCTGCACATGAGGGACCAGAGCTCAGATCCTAGAACCAGTGTAAAAAGCCAGCCATGGGCCACACCTGTGCCTGTAACCTGTGGGAGACAGAGACAGGAGGATTGTTCAGGACTCCTAGCGTAGCAGAAGGTTCAGTGAGAGACCCTGGATCAAGAGAATACGGTGGAGGGATAGAGCAGGATGCCTGACATCATCCTGTATCACTGGCCTCTACACGCACACTACCTCCAGAGATCCACACAAACAGGAAGACAGGAAGAGAAGAAGAAAGAGAGAATATGAGTTCCACTGGAAACCTAACGTGGGGCATGATCATAAGATGGGAATGAAGCCTGTAGGTCAGAAGGCCTGCTGGGAGAAGGCTGCCCGGTCCTTCTGAGTACTTGTGATGGCTTTGTCTTTCGATGGCTGCTTCCTCCTCTCTCCCCCAGCCCCCAGTCTCATTCCTTCTTGGCTCCCTTGCAGCTGCCTTGTCTTTCTCCATCATCTCATTCCCATTGGCTTTTATACCAAACAGCGTTGAAATGATCTGAATTAAGAAGTACATACTATCTGGGCAATGATAATGTATGCCTGTAATCCCAGCGTTCGGGAGGCAGAAGCAGGGGGATCTCTGTGAGTTTTGAGGGCGTCCTGGTCTACATAGTAAATTCCAGGCCAGTCAGGGCTCATAGTGAGACCCTGTCTCAAAACAAAATAAAAAAAAAAACTCAGAAAGGAAAGAAGGAAGAAAAAGAGAGAGGAAGGAGAGATGGAGGGGAGGAAGAACAAGAAGGAAGGAAACAGAAATGCACAACACAATGAAATAGCATTGAACTTTATGAGCAATGTATCTCAAGTGGAAAATGAAATGTCCTAAATTAGAGAGAGAAAGAAGAGAGACAGAGAGAGAGAGAGAGAGAGAGAGAGAGAGAGAGAAGAGAGAAAGAAGAGAGAAAGAGGGAAGAAATGCCTATGATGTCACACTGTACTGGTATAGCACACAGGTGTTGGTATAGCACCCTGAGATAACATGTTCCTCACACATGCTCTGTCCTGCTTACTGGAAGACGTTTAAAGCAGAGAACCCTGTCTAAGCTTGAGAAGGCCAGGGATCTTAGATGTGGGCAGATCTGGGGGATATTTGCCATTGAGAGGAAAGAGTCTGTTGGTTAAGATGAAGGGAGGGATATCTTCTCTCAAGTCCCTGGCCCGGCAGTGGAACTGCCATCTCAGGTCCTATTTGAGGCCAGCATCCCTCCCACATCCCTCAATGGAGTTTCCTCTCATTCCTGTCATCTGACCAGTCTCTTCCCCCTCAGTTCAATAGTGCTCATGGCATCCAAGGGCAGATACATCACCAGAGGCCCATGGACCAGGGTGCTGGAAAAGCTTGGGGCAGACAAAGGTCTCAAGTTGAAAGGTAAGTCTGAGCGGGGTTTAAGTGACCTCAAAACCAGGGCAGATGGTGTGGAGATGTCATTATTCTTGCTGGATTAAGGACATTGTTTCCCACTAGGCTTGGGTACAGCCCCCAAACCTTTGACATGGTCAGTGGCCTCCTGGCCTGGTGCCACGTGCTTACCATCCCTGCACTAAAGCACAGTCATTTTTCCTTATGACCAGACACTGGTAGAATACTGCTATTTGGCCCTCTGCTCTACAAGTGGCTGTTTATTCAGTGAAAGCATCATTAGAAACTGCCTTTGTCTGACTACTCAGCCTGGCCAAGGATCTGCATCCTCTTCACAAGTCCAGGTGATACCTGCTTTTGTAGCATCTTTTACAGTTTGAAAGGTCTTTTTGTGTCTTCTAAGATAGGAAAAGAAGAGAGAATTAAATCCCAAAGACTAGTTTACGATGAAACCCAACCCAGACTTCCTGGATATGCTGGATAAATCTAGCCAGATATAAATACCCATGTGCTGCTTATTAGTCATAGATTGTTCGGAGTAAGGTCCCAGGGAGGTATAAATGAGAGAGAGCAGATGTGGGGACGATGGTGACCATGACAGCTACCGTTTGACTCCAGGCTTGCACCTTGTCAAACTTTCAATAATTATCTTGTGCATTCACAAATAACTTGGGCAGCAAGGATAGCTCCCTCTACAGAAAAGGGAGAAATCTACAATTACATAGTGAGGTGCTAGCTTTAGCTAAGATACGGACCCTTGCCTTCCTGAACCAGGTCCTAACTATCTGTGTCCTGATTATGATGAACATCAAAACCAGCAGCCTATCATACAGATATTTATCCCAGGCAGCCAGAGAAAAATCTGGAAAGATACAAGCCTGTCCCAGCAGCCAGTAAAGAAAGAGAATCAAAGTCCTTTCCTGCAAACCCCAAGGCTATTTTGGGGCTCCTATGTGTTAAATTAAGACGTTGTTGCCAACACCTCAGATATATGATGACAAATTGTCTAGAGTTGATAGATGTACACTGCCCCCCAGCCTGGGCCACTCCTGAGCGTAGACATGGACCTCCAAGTCACTGAAGTACAGGGCACAGCACACAGCATGGAAGCCTAAGGTCTGGACGTTTACTCAGTCCCACACAGTGTGTCATTGTCCTAGGACAATCCTTCCCTTCTAGAGCTGCAGAGTAACAGAGCCCAGGCTGAGATCTTGAAGACAAAGGCCACCATTTCACAGGTGGGATCATAGGATACAGCGACTTTCTGGTGATCATAAGTCAGCTAGAAAGCAGGCAGGAGTCCTACCAGCACTCTTCCTCTCCAGCCCCCCAGCCCCTGCTGTGCATAGCTCTCCCTTAGCACACAGAGCCTCTACCCTACTGAGGTGCCCATGAGGCTCAGGAGTGATGCCTACACACCCCAGACAAAAAGATACCCAATCCTAGCACCAGTTGGGCTATAAGAGCTTGCTCTTGAGGGCCAGAGCCCAGTGTTGCTAAGAAGGGATTGCCCTCTGGGGACAGAGGACGCTGAAGGGGAGTGCTAAGGCATGGCTTGTGGCAATTCTCTAATAGCTTCATTATTTTCACCCATGTGATTCCTCACTTTATAGAAAAGATGGCGTTCGTCGGCTTCAAAGGCAGCTTCCGACCCATCTGGGTGACTCTGGAGACTGAGGAACACAAGGCCAAAATCTTCCAAGTGGTGCCCATCCCTGTGGTGAGAAAGAAGAAGCTGTAAGGAGAGTTGCCACTTGGTACCACCCCCAGGCTGGTCCCCTACAGCAGCCGGGGACAGGATGGCTGGGTCCCCTGGATCTCAGCTCTGCTGGGCTAAGGGACAGATATCAGAGACCCTGGTGCTGCCACCTGCCCCTACTCAAGTCTACCTGCAGCCCCTGGGCAGTGTTGGCCGACGCTACAACCTCCTCTTGGGTGCTTCTCTCCACTCTGTGCCTCATCAGTAGGCATGGGGACCGTACAAAGAGACCTGGGTTGTGCTGGCGGCAAAGGGCCACTTGGGCAGGAGTCTGAACCCACCTGGGAGAAGGTCTGGATAATGGGACCACTCACAGATTTCCACAGTCACTTTCAGATACATTAAGTGGCAGATGGAGGGAGAACATCTTTATTCCTATAAGCGAGGTTATGGCTTCCTGGGTTTAGGAGCTGTCGTGCAGAAAGAGCTGTCCATCATGGCAGACTGCACTGGGGAGGAGATGGAACCCTGTCTACAGGGAATCCTTTTTCAAGAGACTTCAGCTGGCACATTGGGACAGGGACTAGGTGGCTCCTGTTTGTCCTTCCTGAGATTGCAGAACTCTACTGTGTTTTGCTCTGAGTCTGGAGCCCATCAGTAGAAGTAATCACTGTAGCTGACATCTCCACTGAGTGCCCTGGATACAAACAATGGAGAGGTGAGAGCTCACACCGGGGAGTCCACCAGTGACAGGCAGCCAGGCCTCAGCACACTCTGAGCCCCAAAGGGAGTGACACAGTTGAGCAGAGGTAGAATGGAGGAGGGGAACTTCACCACACCCAGGAACATGGGGAAGGCTTCTTCTGAGAGGTGATGGTCCTGGCAGGAGTAAAGGACCGAGATGATGGAGAAGAGATGAAGTGGCCTCTGGCATGGCTCAGAGGTGAAGGCTTTGCTGCCACCATCTGCAGCATCTGCGTCATGCCAGGTCACCTCTTGTCCTATGTGGCTGACCCACTTAGGATAGAGAAGCAAGGTCTGCAGAGAGAAATGGACTGAGTTACAATGCACAGAAACTTGTTCAGATTGGTCTCCAGCCAGGCCTCACTGACTCTGTGAGAGAGTGGAGTGAAGTTCACAGACCTGAAGCTCTACAATGGATCTCCAGTGCACTTCAGCTGGGAGATGAGCAGAAGACTCCAGGAAATCTGAACATACCCACACCACAGTGAACCTGAGTGTCAGAGATGGAAAGGACCTTGGTGGGGGGAGGGGGGCTCAAGGGCCATCTAGTCCAGCATTTTGTACCTATATCTGAGGAAAATGGTACTTGACCTACACAGTCAGGTCCCTGAGTCCCAAGCTCAGCACCCACTGCCACACCACACTGCCTCAGTGGCTAGCCCGGGGAATCCAGTATTCTCAAAGTTGCTTTTGGAAGGGAAGCATATCCCCTGGAATGGGGAGAAGAGGTCCAGAATATAATGGTCTCTTGTAAAGGGCTTTTCCCTCTTGCCCCTCAGTATACACTGCCCACTCTCCTCTGGGCAGCAGCCCTGCCACTTTCTCTACACTACTGGTTATACGTGGGCATGGGCTACTCATGACTGTGGAATTTTCTTGGTGCCACCTTATTCCACAGTGGTGCTGGTATGCCCAGTGGATAGCATCAAGATACGCCAATGTGCTTCTGCTGGGCCAATTGGCTCCTTGTGGGGATCTGAGAATGGTTGGCTCCAGTCCAAGGTCTTTCAGTGTATGTTCACTCTGTCTGAGCAAATAGCTTCGATGCCCAGATGAGTGGAAACTATCCCTGTTCAATATTCTTCTGAGAGAGACATCAGGGTTTCTCGGTGTTTTGTGAATGGGATTGGTCCCCTTTCCTCCACAATCAAAGACTCTTTCTTTCAAAGAAGACTTGCTTTGGTTTCCTCTGTCCAGTGGTGTCAAGGAGCCTTAATCCCAGAGCCCACTCTCCAGGTTGAGCCAACTCCCAGGGGGTCTTTCCCACTGAATGGGTCTTCCAGCTGCTGGGAGGTGGATGTGGGACCATGCCTCTTAAGACATAGTGGCTTCAGTTGCCAGTGTCAGAGGAAAGACATCTTCTGGGGAGATGAGGGGGAGGGGAAGGGGATAAAAGTGACCTCATGTTTTCTCTTGTCAAAGTTTCATTGAATTTTCAATGCGAGGGTCTCACACTGTGAACCACTTAAGACTCGATCACTTTCAGGTGGCCATGAATGTTGAACGTCTTTGGCTCAGTTCATTTCGGCAAATACCTATTGGAAAGTTCTCTGGGTTGTACATATGTTGAACAGTACAGGGTTCTGTACAGAAAGCGTTCTTTCCTAAACCATCCACCAAGAGTCGATGTACAGGCATTTTCTTGGTAGCCCAAAAGTCTTTCTTGCTTAGAAAGTTGCTCTTGTCCTTTCTGTTCACCAGCATTGCCCTTGAGTCAGGGGCCTTTGATTGAAAGGCTCGTCTGTCCTGTTGGCTAAACAGCTGGCCCTTTCTCGTGAATTGGATGGACAGCATGTTTTGTATGTAAATGTTCCTTAAAGGTGTCACCATGAACAAAAGTATATTTTCTATTTATTTATTATATATTCACTTCCAGAAGTCACTGTCAGAGAAGTGAAGAGTCATCTTAAGTATTATATTAGAAGATGTCCTTTGGACCACTGGGAGGAGGTGTGCCCAGAGCTAAGGACATCAGCTCTAGTTTGGAAAAATCCTGCTGTACCATATTAAACATACAAAGAATGTCATTGTCTTGTCTGCTTGTTTCATTTTCCGGTATAGTGGGTCTCATTGTGAAACCGGTCATCTAGGGAAAAGTAAGATAAAAATCACCTGAGTTTGCCCCACTTGGTTCCTAGTCTTGTTCCCAAGAGCTACTTATGTATCAGAATCCCACCTTCCTCAGGCATCCCACAGGAATACTGAGAAGAGCAGATAGAAGGGTCCACTGGCAGAGAAGATGCCTTTCACATGACCAGGCAAGACAGTGCTTGTCTCACCCACATGTCCCTAAGTCATTCGGATGCTCTCAAGCTTACCCTTCCTACTGGGGAATCTAGGGAAGGTATCAGGGTCAGGGCTAGACGACCAACTGTCCTTCTTCGCAGATTCTGACCAGACGACAAACTCTGTAGCTGAGAGGGGCATGGGCATAGAGATAGAGAAACAAGTCCAACCTGAGCTCTGGATAAGGGATAGAGATAGAGGTGGGATGGGTTCAGGAGAGGAGTGAAGGAGGCACAATTCTCAGAGCAGAGGAAGACGGTCTAGACCACTTTTGGATAATAGCTTATAGTTAATTTAAGAACAATTTAAAATATAGTTCCACACTGCAGATGCTCCACTTCCATAGGAGTCTAATGACTACTGTTGTGAACTGCATGGATATAAAACATGACCACCATCATGGAAAGGTCTTTTCTTGATACTGTCCAGAAAGCTGCTGATACTTACACATTGGTATTTTAAAAATCTATGCCTCTAGGGTAGGCAATAGAGTGTGAGCTCAGGTGTGTACAATTCACTTAAGGGAGCTAGTACTGGGTTAGTGGTATTAAGCTGTCAGGAAACAGATGATCTAGCCTTGGATATACTATATAAACAATACAGCGGAGATTATAGGACCCAAGACTTATGGAAATGTCATCCTTAAATATGAGGAATCAGATCTGTAATCTCAGCATTGAGGAGGATGAGGCGGGAAGACTGTGCATTGGAGAACAGTCTGTACTACAGACAGCTTACCTACAGTTGCATCAATAGTACCTCCATGGTGTTCCTGGAGACTATGTCAGAAGCAATAAAACATCTCCAGGATCCACTCTGGTCATGTGTGCTTCTTTTACTTTGAATCCTTCCAGGAGCTTCATGGTCCTGTTTTATTTAGTCCCATGAGATGGTCCAATGGGTAAAGTTCCTTACCTGGTAACCTAAGTTTGATCCACAAAACCCATGGGGAAAGAAGAGAACCAACTTCTGAAAGTTGTGCTCTGACCTCTACACACATACTGTCACACAGACATGCACACATACAGACACACAGAGACATACACACACACACATAGACATACACACAGACATGCAGACACACAACCACACACACACCCACAGACAGACAGACACACAGAGACACACACAGATACCTACAGACACATAGGTATGCATACACACTATAATAAATAAATTCTATTTTTTAAAAATAGATCTAGTTTCAAGAAAAGAAAGGAGACGGAAGAGAAAGAAAAACAGGGAAGCCAGGGAGCAGAGGAGAAGCTTTAGCATCAGGAAGCAATCACTTTTGTACTATGCCAGACACCATGCAGAGAAAGCAACATAAAAGAGTAAAATATGCCAGGGCATGCCCAGGGAGGGGTGGAGCAAGAGTCTTTAAATAGGGAGGAATTTTTCTCATCTAGAATCATCAGGAAGGTCAATGGTCTGGGTGGGGATACCAGAGTTCACCTAGGAGTTATGTAGGACAAAAAAGGGGCCCTTTACAGTCCAGGCAGGGGTAATACCAGGGTTTGAAAACTTGAGGACATCTGAACATGAAACATGTTACCTTGCAAGAGGGATTGTGGGAAGGTGGACAGGGTCAGATGAATGGTGGAGCCAGTGGTGGGGGCAGGATCCCTAAGATTTCTCAGCCCATTCAGTCCTCTTTCTCTCCCTCCCCACTTTAGTAGAAGAGTAGCTGAGATAGGTTCCAGTGTCAAACAGTCGCTAAGAGAGAAGTAGAAGTGTTCATGTCAAATCAAAGACTTCCACAGCAAAACACCAAAATTTGCATGGGATTTGGAAATCACTAGAGTGTTTTAAATAGAACAAATTATAACACTAGCAAGTAGTTTTATATTGTTGGGCTTATTTAGAAGATAATGTGAAACACATTTTTATTTTTTTTTAAATTGATACACTTTTTTCCTTATCAACTTAGACTGTCCTATAACTGTACAAATAAGTGCCCAGCCAGTCAGTCACAAAGACACCTGAGAGAACTGTAGAGAGGCCTTTGGCAG